AGGAGGAAGAATATATGTAGACAAGATATTGAAATAAAATGAATTATAAAAAACAATTTTGTTGATGCGCAAGAAACTTTCTAAACGCATCCTAATTGCGCAATAAAAGCGCTGACAGAGCGTAAACAAAAATTTGCATTTGGTCGTCGCTGTACGCGTGATGGAAGATAAACGAACATTACACGTTCAAACCTTGCACCGCGCTTTTGTAGGATAGCAACGGTTTTATTGTAAAACGAGGTGAGGGAATTAAGTGGCATTACTTTGCACTGTCCTTTGTAGGCGAGGACAATTTATGCGAAGCCGTTACTCCGCATAAAGTGCAAGCGTTTCGGCGCGACGCTCCACTAATTTAATTGCTTTATGCCCATAAGTGCCACGATTTGCAATGGATTCGCATTGTAGGTTCTATTTTAAGACTGGATTAATGTTATTTATAGTTCAATAGTATTGATTACGTTAATTCGATATTCGATATTTAATTACTTTTAATGATTATCTCACCGTGTATATGTGTGTACAATATTTATCTATATTTATACATAATACAGTAAAATCTGTCATCGCGGAAACGCAAGAGACCGGGAAAATTTCCCGCCAAAGTTAGGTTTCGTTTAATGAAAGTGCGTACTATAACACAATTCAACGAGGGCCATACGTACGTAAATATACTTTCTTCATTTATTTACATTAAAAAATTATATTATTCGCATTAAAGTCACGAGATCTGAAAACATTTATGTGAAGACAAATTATTAGAAGACAAATTTTGGTTTAATAAAAAGAGTCCGTTAGAAACAGATTTTACTACATATCTACATCATAAAGTGCACAATTATGTATGCATAAATTTATATACTTAATATTTAATTATACATTAAAAAAAATATACACATTTGCATGTGTAATAATAATATATATAGCACCTTGCATTTAACAATTTCGCGTTAATATGAAATACAGAGAATTAATAATAATATATAATTTAAAGCAGAAAGGATTTGTATAATTTGCGTAGTGAAAACGATCGGCGTGCCAGTGAATGAAAATATGAAAATGAAATATTTCAACACGTCAAAGACTTGCCATTATGTGTACATAGTGAGAAATGGTCTTATAATATTTACCACATCACGCAGTGACATGGTAATTCTATTGGTTTTCATTTATTCGGTTGCCAGCGAATGTTTAGCATGAGCAGAAATTTTGCGATATGTTTTGCAAACGTGCCGAATTACTCGCTGTTTATGTGTACACGTGTGTCACTCTTCAAATATCCTCGTAAAATTTAGCCGGCTGAAGTTGCCGGCTTCTCTCGGCACACCGCGATATGTCCTACATCTTCGTCACAGTACCGCGCGACTGTAAAATTTATCCCTCAGGAGGAAAAGCCATTTTCTTTAAAGCATAGCATTCCACACACTGTGTGTATGTATGCCACCATACCGGGACGAATTACAGCGCGCGCGTATCGCATAACCAATTGTATTAATGTCACAGTTGTAAATGTAATGCGCGGTATAAAATATTTTATTTTGTTCAGCTTTCAACACCCGTGAAAATATAATTTATTTCATTTCAATTCGTTTCTTTTGCGCATTCGGGAGATACGAGATGGATTAATCATATTTACAACAGTGATTCGAAAATGTGTAATTGCACATCGCGTTGCAGCGAATAACATGAGAGAAAGTGATATTTTTCGGAGGATTTGATTAAAATAACATACACGCGATAACACATCCAAACATGTAGTTGAGATCATAATTTCACGATTACCTTAGATATTGAACAAATAATAAAATATTACGAATAAAATTAAAAAAAAAAAAACAATAGCTATTGCTAAATAAAAAAGAATATACTTTTATCATTGTAAGATATATATATCGGCGGCAAAATATCGGTGGCATTTTTGACGTGCAAATATCGCGAAGCCATTTTTAGTCGTGTCTGTCACTGCGAGGACGTCAGATAAATCGATCAGCAACTTTCATAAGACACGTTTTTCCCACCTTCCATTTGGCCTCATAAAATTCACATAACCAAGTTACATTAGACGATACTAGCTCTCTCCCGTTCTCTCTCTCTCTCTCTCTCTCTCTCTCTCTCTCTCTCTCTTTCTCTCTCTCTTTCTCTCTCTCTTTATCGCCAGGCGAGAATTTAAATTCAATACGTGAAGCTTCTTCGGAGAGACGAGCGAACTTTGCTCGTAAGTCAGTTTCTTTGTATCGTTCTACAGACGAGCATCATATTGAATCTCTCTTTATCTCTATAAGCGCTTCTTCCGCGCGTTGCAGCTGCAATTACATAATGGTCATACGATATATTACAACGTATAATGTTCCAACTTTCCTTTGTAAACTGAATAAAGCTATCTATAAACAATGCAAACAATCAAAATATAGAAAAACAAAAATATAAGCAAATACCGCAAAGCGATTTTATTGCCAGAAATCTTTTTCATTATTTCTTTTGATTTTTTTTTTTTTTTTACAGAAAAGAAATATTTTTCTTTTATCTTTGTTTTCTTAGAGTAAAATGAAATTTATCGACACACAGAATTTGCCGACACTGTTTTCACCGACAACATTTCATTGACTTCAGATTTGACCGACAACGACTTTAATCGATAACAACTTTAACCGACAACGACTTTAATCGACAACAACTTTAATCAACAGTAACATTGATCGACAACATTATCCGTATAATATTCACTGGCAACGATGTATTATTTTATTGACTTTGCACTTTTTCTTTTGATATAATGGATGGAAGGGTGTGAGAGAATCTTTTGCTCACGTTGATATTGCCCACGTTGCGATTGCCCACGCGTTGCTTTTGCCCACGTTGATATTGACCACGTTGCGATTGACCACGCATTGCAATGTTTTGTTCTTTTTGTTCGTGTAGGCAGGGGGGTGGCTTTGCCTCTCCTTTTGTACCCCCTCACTTTGCATGGAAAGTTATAAATTTGACGTGGTCAATCGCAACGTGGTCAATATTAGCGTGGGCAATCGCAACGTGGGCAAAAGAAACTCCCACTTCCTTTCATCCACTATATTAAAAGAAAAGTGCGAAGTCAATAAAATAGTACATCGTTGCTAGTGAATATTATACGGATAATGTTGTCGATCAATGTTACTGTCGGTTAAAGTTGTTGTCAATTAAGGTCGTTGTCGGTCAAATCTGAAGTTGATGAAATGTTGTCGGTGAAAACAGTGTCGGCAAATTCTGTGTCGGTGACTTTCATGGGACTCGTTTTCTTACTACTATTTAAATATACGCACTGATAAAATAGAATTAACATTTTTTCAAATACTGCATATTTATTCACATAATATTTACAAAAAAGAAAGTGTTTGACAAACAAGACAATGATATTGATTAATATTAAAATATACATATCGGTACAAGAAAAGTTCCAATTTCTCAAAACTGTAGTTATGGAATTTGCGAATACTGTAGGAAAATCGTGCAAATTCGTTCAAAGATAAGTGCTAAAAGTAATAGAGATTCAATTTCCAATATTAAATCCTGCTACAGCAGTGATTGTCCTCCAACCGCGTTATACGAGAAAAAAATGTAGTCGATGAAATTTCCATCACGTAGCTTGCCAATTTTTTGTATTATGCTTGTGTATTGTCATTTCTCTTTTGAAAGAAATTCTCTAATTTTACTGTATAAAATGTTAGTAACCTTTTTATACAGTTTTATAATAATCTTTTTCCGTCAAGGAATGACTGAATAAAATATTATTTACACACGTATACATATTTTACATTGGATTATTGTACAGAAAGATAGACGGTTAAAAAATAATTTCGCATTGCATATTAAAAATGTCGCGTTGCAGTTGTGTTCTAATATCTAACGAGAAATACTTTTTCTAAAAATATTACAAACGTATATGTGAGAAGTGCATTTAAAAACATTGATGTACGCGCTATTTTAGGTAGGGCAAGCGAAATTTTCGGTGATTTTACTGTCTCGTTTACTGACGAAATATATAGCCCGAGATAAAGTTCTCTGGGAAACTGTGTTACATGCGACAGGTGTTAATTTCACGTTGATTACTTTTACATTGTAAACCGACTAACTGCTATCGATTTGAATCGTTGCAACCTCTAAAATACATGCACCTCAGTGGGATTTCATTAACCAACTATTTCTATTCCACAAATTAATTTTATGTCAACGCGCAGAATATGTTAAGTTAACATTGTTAACACAGTGATTTGACAGCAATTAGTAGTTTGACAGAAAAAAAAAGTTAAAGAAAATTGCGTAGTTTGTATACGTACAACTTAAAAGTATCTTCATTATTACTGTTAACATTAATCTTCATTTATTACTATTAACATTAATAGTAACAATGTATTATATAATATATTTGTTAAAATATTTCTAAATAATAAAAATGCCTGTTTTTAACAGGCTTTTCTATCTAAAATTTACAAATAGCTTGTAAAAATGAAAAAATTGCCTCGAAAGTTTGACCTCCCGCCTGTTTGTCACTTTTGAGCGATCCACTAAAAATCCAGTGTTATACTTAGACATTTACGCTTGAAGCACGATAGTTCCTGTTATGAGATAGCTGTATGGATGCTCCATAACGCCAAACTTTCACAAAGGCTCGTTTTTTTCCATGAATATATAACGCAACATAAAATATCTCGGTCCAGTACATAAAAGCGAGATATTTTTCGCAAAACTACTGCAATTTTCCGAAGCAATTTTAACATTGCATTTAAGTGACATTTAAATTTATGTATGTATATATATAGATATTTTTTATATAACACATATAATTAAATCATCACTCTAATTTTCTTATCTTTGCTTAAATATATCTCTTCTGTAAGATAATTACTTGTTGCACATCAAGAAATGCTCTATAACCAAGCAAACAGAGATAGAGAGTGAGAGAGAAAGAGAAACTGAAACCGAGAGAATAATTATACTGGACTGACATTGAAATGTATTGTTTGTTTCAGTGACGGGACTAGAACCAGACTTTGCGTACCCGCTGGAGAACGTAACGATCCCGCAGGGTCGAGACGCTACCTTCACCTGTGTGGTGAACAACCTCGGTGGATACCGGGTGAGTCCTTCCTCCTCCGCGAGCGGAGATCACTCTGGCAGCACCAAGGCCCGGGTAACTATTTTACCATTAACGTGTGTCCGCCTGTAATGGACTCTACTACCTTATCTACCTCCTACTACTGTCTCTACTACTACTACTACTGCACCACCTATATATGCGCGCGTGCCTGCACTTCACAGCACTGCATTTAACTGCACTACCGCCAGCTATAAAAAAAAGAGAATTATATACATTATATATATTAACTCAGTCGCAGAGCAGCCATCATCGCCAACCATCTCTGACATCCATTTTCATCTATCAGCTGACTACGACGCGGCAACCGAATTTTCATAGTCTCTTCATGTTCTCTACTTCGTTCTCTTCTCGTATTCTCGTGCTCACACGTCCAGAAATATAGATAACTCTCATCAAAGAGACATTTCCCCGTTATTCGAGAAACGGTTAACAATGTCTTCGCGCATATATCGAAAAAAGATATATATATATATATCGTCGTTGTCATTATCATCTTCTAATCACTAACGAATCTCAAACGTGTCTCTTTCCCTTCGAATTGTGTGTCGCGATTTTATGTCGCGAATATAAGAGACAAATTTGTGTCTCTCGTGTATTGTGAAAGTTAACATCGTAGGTTATATATTTTCTCCTAATACGCGTTACGCGCGTTTGAGAGACGATTTGAAACGCAAAACAGATCGATGTTATCAATATTAACGCGTCGTATAGCGAGATGGAATTTATTCCAATCGACCGATCGGTCTCCACCTTTGTCCCTTTTCTGAAAAGAATTGGAATCGCGAGGGAGGCTGAATAGATGCAAAAAAGCCGATCTATCGTTGTGCAGCTATTGTTTTTTTCCAACAATGGCTTCCGGGCACATTGCCGACTCCTATTTCCATGAAGCACGTTGCAGAAAATCACGTTCGATATATTGGCGTATTTGACGAATTTGTTGTCCAACAGTATATAAATCACGAATATCGCTTTGTCCGGTTAATATTTCGTAGATACATACTTTCTATATAATTTCAATTTTAATTCTTTCGTCAGTCGGCGGAGAAAGAAACTTTGGAAGACTTTATTGTTCGCAAAAGTACTTAGGTGAGCACGAAGAACACGTTTTGTTATAATTAATATAAATATCAACTTGGCGAGAGAAGCAAAGTTGTTGCCGCGGAAAACTTTGCCGCGCAAGTTGCGTTAAGCAACCAAATATATCTTCCTCTCGTATCAAATAGTAATTACTTCATAAACGCAAAAGTTTTTTGAATGTATCTTCAGTCTTAATTTAATTTTATATAATTTCGATGGCAACATTCTATAACAATTTATGTTAAATTTCCGAGCAATTTAATTTACATACTATTAACGAATTGTATCGCGCGATAGAAATAAGCTGCTCGAATAACGTTGCTAAGGTCTTTTTCGGATCATCCCTTTTAGAGAATTCAGAACCGCGTAATTATGTAAGTTCGGCTTTATACTTTCGTGCGATTGCCGCCAATGAGAGGAAGATTGATCAAGGCAGAACGTGCCGCAGCTATATGTAGCAAAATTAATTTCGCGCGAGTACATATCGCCCAAGTAGCGCGTATTAAGCACTTTCCGGCTCCACTTGTTGAATCGATAACTTCTCGATAACCGAGAGAAAGAGATTTTCTTTCTCCCCCTTCTCTCTGCTCTAAATAAAGAGAATTTTTATTGTGGAAGGAAATTTTCGGCGCCGAGCACATCGGTGCGTGCGCGCGACCCTCGTAGGTTTTAATTAAACTTGGCACTGTCAGAGTTTATAACTTGTTGGGAGATGCGATTACTTCCGGCAATGCGCTCGTTCGCGTTCAACTTCTTTCTTATAGCACGCTTGGACAATTCTCTCCGTTCCAAGTTTACGCTCTTTTCTAATAAGGGGGTCATCGCAAGTTTCATTTTCTTTCCTCCACTCTTTAACATTATTAAGCATATGGAATTCCATGAAAAAAAAAGAACAATTTTAGCTCTTAGCAGATTTATAATTAATTTTCGCGAGTCTTCGGTATTCGCTTCGCGAATAAGATATTCATTTGAAGAAATGTATTTCAGATATTTTTAAAGAGGAAAACATTTTCCAAAATCTGTCTCCAAACGCAGTAAAAAGAGATTGTCGGAATGAAAATAGTGAGAATTTTGAAACAATTTTGGTAATTTTCAACAATGACATTGATCACCTTCAATTGCTTTTAAATTAAAAACAAAAAACACCAACAATTCGCAGTATTATGTGTGTGCCTATTGATCGTGCAAAAAAAAAAAAAAAAAAAAAAAACAAACAAACAAACTGTACGGTACTGTGTTTTTGTGCACTGTTCGCAATGGTAAATTCGTAGACACGTTTGTGCACAACTTATCATCGCAATCGATGAACAACAAACCCGTTCACGTGCCGCTAACCCATTTGATTAATCCACAGCTCGATTCCGATCATTAAGAGTAACGTTCCACGCTTACAAAATTGTTAACAATACAAAATAATTGGTATAAATACTAGTATGTTTCGTGTATTGATCGAAACAATTTAATTGATTTGAAATTTGTGAAAGTAAATTTCACATTTATCAAATTGATATATTTCTATTCGCATTTAAACAACGTGCGCGAGTGTAAACTTTACTTTTCCATTTCCGGATAATTATCTGGCAGTACAAAGAGCCTTGCTACAAGTAAGTCTTGAAGATGGGCGCTGCCAACTTCTCCGCTGAATTTCACTCCTCATTTATTTGAACCGGGAACGACAGAAGATTTCAAATCAACATTAAACGCGCAACGAGCGCCAAGACACTGCTTACAACTTGAATGCCCTGCACTAAGCGGATTCGCGAATCAGCAAACGCGAGTCCGAGCCTACAGCGAGGATGTTCGAACTTAGTACTATTTATTAGGCTTTTTTGCTTAATATAGATTTAAGCTTCCACGCTTAATCACACCCGCTGGAAAACCAAAGTCTGTAGCTCGATCAATTTTCAAGGCAACAGCATCCACACGCACACACATACACACGCATGCATTATCTTTATCTTCTGACAGCATTTTCTTAAGTTTTTTATTTATATTTTATTTATATTTTATTTATATTTTATTTATATTATTTATATTATTTATATTATTTATTTTATTTATATTATTTATAGTTTTAATTTTGTTATTAACGTTTATTTTTCAGGTGTTCTCTATTCTAGAAAAAACTTTAGATTTGACACTTTTTAACCACAGAGTTATTTTTTGCAACAATCATTTTACCACCAATTATAAGATTTTTATTGATTTTGTAATGCAAACTAAAGATACATCTGATATAAAGGTATTTTCGAATAAAAAATTAATTCGAAATAAAAGGAAAATATAAATATATGTTTAAAAATTTATACGCGCTTTCATTGTGCGATTCCGTTTGGTATATATCAGAAATAATATTAATAGAGAGGTAACTTGGATTAATATCGGATTTATATTCGAGAGAGATACGTGTTATTTTAGTGGTTATTTTACTTTTTTTACATAACTTTGTGGTTTTAGGTTTTAATAACAATAATTTATCAACTCATAATTTTTTTAGAGATGTTATATTATGTTTGAAAAATTTTTTTTGAAATCACAATTTTAATTTTCTTTAGAAATTATCTGATTTTTGTTTTATAACATATATTTAGCATGTACTAGTCGATGGATTCTGTTGCCTCATTGAATAACAGCATACCGAAAACCTGAAGAAGAAGAGTTCAAAAGATATTGATAAGAATGAGTATGAAACACAAATTATTACATGTATTTGGTGATAAAACCGATAACTATATAAATATATATATATAAGGAGGATGTTAATTGCCTCCGTTAGCTTTTGAAGCACACTCGTGCCGGTCGAGCACATTTTTCAAGATTATTTTTTTGTATCTATAAAAAAAAAAACTACTCCGTAAGTGAGACGTGACGCAAAACTTTTGAGTGCTCGTCACTCCCAATACGAAAACATTCAGGTGCACATCGGCTTTGTCCACAGAATGCACAGTTTCTCTTTGCACATGTGTCTGTTTACAATGCATACGTAAACGCACTTGAGGTTTGAATGTTTCGTGCGAGATGAGATATATTGATGCAAACTGCACTGGAGAAAGATTTGAGATGCACAGTGTTCGAACGTGTTATGCGTCCTCAGTAATTTGCTGAGAATTTGAAGGGGACGAAATCACGTGCTGTGAATTACGTTCTTAGCAGCGAATCACTGAATTTCTGTCTATATATGCGAGAGGCATGCCACAAAAAAAGAAAACAAATTGATGCATGAATATATGATCATACGGAGAGTACGTAAACGGAGGTTGCATGAGCATGTTTTTGCCAGTAAGCATTAATCTAGACAGATAAGCGAGATATAAGCGTGTATAACTCTCGACGACGTTTAGGGTTTAGATCAGAGGCGATAGAAATCGCGTTTAGGTTTTAGTGGCGTTTTATTCGTGTCACCCGATATATGTGTCAGGAACCGTACGCCAGAGCGAGTAATCTCGTCCGAAACGTGCGTGTCACGCGGATCGGTTAATCGTTCGAATTCCGCGCACGCGGCTGCGCGGATGAGTGCGTTTCGCTGTACCGTCGAGCGTGCCGTGCCGAGTCGCGGCACTCGACGTCGCGTCGCCATAAATTCTGACATTTAACCCGCTGTTATCGCGTTCTCGGCCACTGCGCTCCAATTTCTCGCGCGACACGTTACAAGTGAAATAAGGAATAATAATAAATACAATAGAAATAAAATAAAATAATTTATAATCACAATGTCCTACTTGCTATCTATGCCATGAAGAGATAGAAATAATTAAGATGAAAAAAAATAAGGTTTATATATACGTCACAGTGCTCGTATATCATTATCGACAGGTGTCAATTTTTTTCGAGACATTGCGAATACCCGTATCAAACAATTTAACTGTAATAATGTAACAATTTAACTGTAGTAATACATAACTGCTTAACTGCAAAGACATTTTCAAAAAAAAAAAAAAAAAAAAAAAAAGACAAGAAGGAAGAAAAGTTCTTTGAAGTATCCGAAATTAAACTGAGAATCTCTCTTAATCTCTTTTATCAGAAGCAGAAAACGCGACGAATGTATTAGTGATAAGACGGAAAATCGTAAGGATGTTAAAGTCGTAGAAGGAAAGATGGTTGTGAAAAAAAAAAGAAGGTTGTGAAGAACACAAAGACTATAAAATAGTGCGTTAATACCTGAAATTCTGAGCGCAAAGCGATGGCGATGAAGGGATGAGGGTAAAAGAAGTCGAAGTAGTCGCAACGGAGCGCGCGTCGCGATAAAGGTCGGGAAAAGGAGAGAGGCCGCGGAACTTCTAATTAGCGAGTTTATCCATTTATTCTACAAGCTGAAAAAGGGAACAGCCGCATTTCTGCGCGAGCAAAAGTCGAGAGAATAAAAACTTAGGAACGAGTCGCACTATGTAAGTGGGTGACACGGCGTCGCGAAAGCGAGGGAATAAAACGCGAGGGATGAGCAAGGAGGAAAGGGTAAGAAGAAGGGTTCTGAAGAGAGGGGTGAAGGAGGTGGCGCGAAATAAACGAGGGGTAGTAGACTGGACCGAGGCTCCCGATTCCACAATGCACCACAATGGAGCGCCGACGACGGTTTTGCATATGAAAGAGGACCGAGAATGGAGGAAACGTAGATCTGAAGGCCGGGAGGGAAAAGAGGGGGAATAGGTGTACGTAACGCGATATTATATCGGACTAGGGAGGGTTAGCCACCCTCTCTCGCTTTCTCATCTCCGAATCTCTTTGCGTCTATCTATCCGTCTGTTCCTTCGCGGGTTCTTCTCTTGCGCTTTTTCTTAAAGAATTGGAGGGAGAGAGAGAGAGAGAGAAAGAGAGAAAAAAGAGGTCGTACATTGAAAGTACCGGGAGGAAACTGCATTAGGTAAAGAGGGCGTTCTTTGCGTTGAGACACTCATTTCCATGCGAGGACACGAGGCGCCCTTGAATAATCTCGCTTTTTTAGAGTCTAAAAAAACTCTTTAAGTTCTCGATTTTCCGCACTCCCTTTCCCTTTTTACTTAAATCTTTCGCCTTCGTCATTGTATCGTATAACGGAATTCGTATTCTAATCTTCTTGATCGGAAAGACATGTACGCGAAGCAAAAATGCATATCCCGCGAAAGAGGAAAGTGGAAAAATAACGATTTTTTTATTCTAGCTATATATACAGGATAGATATAGGATTTCTATTTTTCGAGAACGCGGCAGAGAATCTCAGAGTCGCGTGGCTTTTGAGTTTTGACTTTCGGATGCGCGAGGTATAATACGTAGAAGCAGCGACGTATTGTGCGTATTTTCAAGTTGTCGTAGCCGTCCTGGCGCAACATTATCATCCCTCTTGCGTTGCTATGGATACCTTTTCTCGCTTCCGAGAGCGATTTTGATATCGTGCATTCGCGAAGACTCTGTCACCGGATTCCGTGAAGCAAAGATTCTGTGAGGAAACCGTTTTATGATCGGCTTTACTTAACAATATGAATGCGGAATAAATATATATATATTCTTTTATCACTTCAAAAATTCTAGTTTTAGTGTTCATATTTTTTTCATATCGTTTTAAAATAAATTTTATTAAACTTCAATACATCACTCTCCAATAATGAGTTTATTTTTCATAATCTGCTGCTTATACTCGAGAAAGAAATACAGTTTCATCATTGTTTTTTTTAAAAAATTATCATATATAAAATGTAAACAATTCAAGTCCTTCATTCTTACCTTTTCAGTTAACAATTAATTATCGTCATCAAGTAAATCGAGTAATACAGCGTAAGTGTTTCGAGAGCTTTGAGCATTTGTCGCTTGTGGCGACTTTTCCACCCTTCTTTTCCAAGAGGGTGGCTCGCCACTTTCAGAGGGTCGCGAAGCGTCCGAAAGGGGGTCGCGCGCTTATACACTCCGGCATAATATATTATAAGTGGAGGTATATTCGCGCCGTCACTACCAAACATTCGCGCCCTTCTGCGTCCCACCCCCTCACCCATGCTCCTTCATCCATGCGTCCGTCTATACATTCTGCTCGCGGGTTATCGATAAGAACCCGCGGAGGAACTCCTTTGTCGGTTGATAAATATCCTTTCAGAGCGATGGAAGGTCAGATATTCGACGTGGTTCAGGTTCAATTTCATGCCAATAATATCTGCGCAAAGGGGTGGCGGAGATCGGAATAGAGAGAATGAATATTCGCGATACTCTCTCTGCGCTGCAGTTTCCTCTTTCATGACTGGCTTAAGTCAGGATACAAGGTGGAATTACGATTAATACGTGTTAAACCTTCGCGGTCGGAATTTATAATTTATATGCGAATTTCATTAAATGTCGCGTTCTCACTGTAATATTATCAATGTGATATATTTGATTTTGAAAAATAAAACTTTGGGAAATTTGAAATGAAAAAATCACTTATATAAATGTTCATTTGTATTTACGCACAGCTTTGGATTTTACGTTATAAACAACAAGTCAAATTGTGTATCGACATGAAAACGCAAAAGATCAGTCGCGATTATACCCTCTCTCCTTTTCTTCTGCTCTTTTTTTCTATCTCGTTGATCATAATTCGTAAAAAAATGGATTTAATTAATGGCATATATCAGCGGTCTGCAGAGCGGTGCGGCAATAACCGGAATTCAATTTAGCGTTGTTAATATGTGTGTGTGTGTGTGTGTGTGTGTGTGTGTGTGAGAGAGAGAGAGAGAGAGAGAGA